TTAAGTTGCCCGGCTAGCCTCAAACGTGCTCTTCTCCCACCACAGATTCCTGGCTAGTTGAGCTTGAGGCCTGCACCATCCTGGCTGTCAGAACCTTTCCTGTGTATTATGATTTGGTGCTTCCGTCCTACCAAAACTCACGCTGAGGGTTAATCCATCAATGTGGTAGTGTGGGGTAGGGGGGCCTCTAGGATGTGGTTAGGTCATGGGGCACTGCCTACATGAATGGATGAATGCTTTTCTCCAGACACTGGGTTCCCTGTCTCAAGCCCAGATTAGGTCTCCCAGGAGTGCGGTGGATCCCCCAGGACTGGGTTAGTGACCCTAGAGCAGGCCGCTCTGCAGCAGCCTGGCAGCACTCTCCGTTGTTTTTCACACATGCCCCTTCCACACGTGCCCACTTGCCCTCTCTGCTTCTCCACCATGGGAAGACGCAGCATGAGGTCCTCGCCGGAGGTTGACCAGATGTAGAAACCCAGTCTTAGACAGGATTGTGAGCCCAAATAAATCTATTTGCTTTGTAAATTACCTAGCCTCAGATATTTCATTATAACAGACATGGACTGAGAACTATGACACACCCAAGCGTGATAAGATGGCCTAAATGTGATATATCAAGTCACAAATAGCAAGATGTGGAGGATAATTTTGTGACATGTAATTACGTATGAATGTCTTGTACAGGCTAGATTAACAAGTTTAAAATTGATATACTTAATTATATACATTTGAGGGTTCTATTTAACAAACGATATCATGAATAATGCACAAACAGACTAGAAGATATTGGTAATGTCTAAAACATACCAAGTAATAGCTAAATTCTAGTATATTCAAAAAACTCCCGCAAATCAAAAATTGTTTTAAAAATATCAAAACAAAAATCAACAACAGCATAGGATAGCAATGGGCAACTAGCCAGAAAAAGAAAACCAAAAGTCTAAAAGGCATAGACAAAAATGTTTCAACTCAGTAATCAAACCAAGACAGACTGAAGTAATGAGTGCTCACAGTAGCCCTATTAGGCTAGAATAATTAGAAGTGGTTGATGGTAAGTGTAAGGGAGATGCAGTAGGAACGCTGGTCCACTCTGGGGGGATGTGGACTAGAGAAGGTCTGCTGGGTGTCATATGGGAGGACTGAGTCAGATTAAATGTACAAGGCTCCTGCAGCCCAGCACCACCCCACTGGATAGATATCTCCAGGAATGTCCGACCTGTATCTCTAAAGGAACCTAGATGAGTATTTTCATCACAGTGTTGTATACAATGGTTAGAAGTCAGGGGTTGCCTGGGGGAGCATCTCTGGTGAAATGGAAAGGAAAAAAATTGTTGGATATAGAGTTTGTACATCAGGTAGAAGAAATGGATTTTGCTACCTATAGCTAAGGGACTGGATCTTAAAAATATGGTGGAGGGTGAAGAAGCAAAAACTAGAATAAGTTATATATATATAATACGATTAAGCAAATTTTTGCAGCAGTTCGTGCACACCAAAAGATGTACTTAGATGCAATAGCAAGATTGCCTACAGCCAAGAAAGAGCAATGGATGGAGAAAGGATGGAGGATAACAAACAAGAGAGGAACCTTAATTGTCCACTCAGGCAAAGAAGGCTTCTGTACCTGGAGGTGTGTGTGTGGGTCTTTATTTACATCTACAGTGGTACCTTGGTCCATGAACTTAATTCTTTCCATCATTCTGGTCACAAACTAGGATTCAGTTATCATTCAGTTTGGTTTGCAACCAGAATTGTGGAAAGAATTAAGTTTGTGAACCGAGGTACCACTGTATAATTACTTCTATAGTGTCTTAGATACTTTTCACATTGGTGAGACGAAAGACCCAGCACCCAGAGTTTAAGGAGGAAAGGTTTATTGTAGCTCACAGTTTGTAGCAGTCTCAGCTCATGGTTGGCTGGCTCCCAGGCAGGGTGGGAAGGCAGAGAGACATCACAGAGGAGAAACAGTCCATGGCAGGCAGAAAGCAGAAGGCAGCAAGGTGGCATGCAGCAGAACAGTGAAGCAGCAAGAAGTAAACAGTAACAGCAGCCCTCTTTCTGTCCCTTACATTCTGTGTAGCACTCACACCCAGGGAGGGCCTTTCCATTATCCACTCCCAGAACTACACCAAACCGTCAGTGGGACAATTTAGTAACCACACAACTTTGATCCCAGCATCACAAACTTAATCCCAGCACCACACAGTCTAGATCCAGTGACCTCTGAAAAGCCCCATCTATGACTGCATGAGGCTTTAGGGGCACATCGAGACACAGGCCAGAACATACAGATTGAATTCCCTGAAGTAAGATGAGTTCCCTACAATCTCCAGTTAGAAAGATGGAAAAACAGCAGGGCTCCCCGTTGGTTGGAAAAGGTCCCTCAGAAGAAGACCCTCCCTTATTTCTGAGCTTAGGGCTGTTTCCCTTCACCCCAGAGTAGTGCTGTCTGCCTGCCCTGCTCTGGCTGCACCAAGAGATAATGAGGCAGCTGCCCTGAGATGAGGCTGCTGATCAGCTCAAAGACAGTGAGATCCTGTGTGTGCAGATTATCTCGCGGCAGCATCAGATTAGCCTTGCACGTTAGGATCACAGGATCTCAGACTCCGAGCTGAAAGTCTCTGAAGTTGACCTCCCGTCCGTTAGAAGATGCAGCAACCTCTGCAGAGGGAGAGGGCTCAGAGCTTGTGAGGGAATTCCCATTCCCCTTCCTTTCCACCCCTGCCTGCTCCGGGCTTCTTACAGCGCACTTCAGCGTAACTCGCATTCTGCCCCGCCCCGTCTGGGTTCTTACTGTCCTGAAGACACTATCTCACTGAGGAGAAGCAGGAAGGAAGGGCCGAAGCCCAAACACTGGTGGGAAATGGTTCCAGTACCCCAGGTCTGGAAACAGCAAACCGCTCCTCAGACCTAAGGGCCCAAGAGCCAGCAGCTAAAGTGGTGTGACAGTGTAAGGGGTTTAAAATGGATGGATGGATGGATAGACAGACACAGACAGAGAGATACATAGATAGAGGCAGGTAGAAAGATAGCCTAGGAAATAGAAGCTGCATGTGGTCCACAAAGCCTAAAATATTTCCTGTCTGGAAGTTTCCAGAACAAGGTTTGTGGACTGCTCACTCAGGATTCTTGACGGACCAGCAGCTACACTGGCACATCTTGGGCGCTTCTCGGAAATGCAGTTTCTGGTGCACCTCCAGCTCCTCTGAATCCAAGTATGCACTTTGACAGGAGCCGCTGGAGACGAGCCCATAGGGGAGTTTCTCGCCTGGGGTCTCCTGGCACAGCTGGATCGGTTGCCAAGGGCTCTGGAACCTGAAGTGTGCACTGGAGTCTTCTTTCTATCCCTCCTGAGTGCCTGTTGTTGTCCTGTATCTTTCCATCAAGTCCTGTTTCCTCAACTCTGACGTGGGGGTGAGCATAGTTTTCGCTGCATGGGGGCTTCATGGGGCTTGAGTTGGATCAACAAGCCACAGCGAGGCCTCTGTGAGCGTGAGACCTCGTTTCTGCCACGCTGCTTTTCATGTACAAGCTGAGCTTTCTGCCCTGGAACAGGGGAACACGCTTTGCATAGATGCCCAGGGCTTCTGCACAGATGGCCTTGGGTGTTTCCTGAGAAGCCCAGCTATGCAAATGCTGTGAACCAGCAGGTGAGCAGGCCGAGGGCAAGCCTAAGGCTGCCCCACCTGTCAGCTGGCTTCCTTGCCACACCAGGACAGGCAATTGCTCTCTGATTGGGGACAAATTGGTTTGTGTGGGCCCCAGTTACACATACTTGTTTCCCTGAGAAACAATGTTTTGGATCACACTGACACACGGTTAACATTTCAGAAAAACAAACAAAAACTCTGCCTCCACCCAGAAGCAGGCTGCCTAGGACCTGACCTTGCCTCCCGGTGGCCTTGCTTGGGCCTCACAGGGGTTGTGAGGCTGTCTGATTTGCATTCAGTGCCTTCTTTTCCTGCCCAGGGGTCAAGGTGATACTACCTGGGCGGGTTCTGGGAGGGCAGGAGAGACAGCGGACGGCAGAGGGGAAGTGGGCTGTTATGTAAACGACCGAGACAGGACTCTGGTTCAGTTTGGGTCAGATTCCAAGCGAAGACCTGAGACAAAGGGAGGACGCTGTGTCCTGCGCTGGCCCAGGGATCCTGCGAGGGACAAGTGTTTATTCTACATGACAGCCCAAGTCTTGCTTCCTGTTTGGCTTTCTCAGGGCTGCTTGTCGGGATTAATGAAGACCATCCAAACATTTTCAAGGATACAAACTCTAGAAAAGACACTTGTCCCTAAGCCCTGTTTCCTGCAATAATCCATACACAGTTCACACCGTGTCGTCCCAGCACAAAGCTGCTGTGTGGACTGGGGCTTCTCCCGGGTGACCTTGATGCCTTTCACTGCTTTTTCCCATGGTGGGAATTACACATAATTCCACAGAAGGTGCATCTTTTGAGGGGGTGGCATTTTTTCATGTACTTATTTTTAAATTCGTACATCTCTATGGGGTATTTTAGGGTGATTCAATACATGTACACAATGTGTACTAATCAAATCAAGGTAGTAAGCATTTTCACCTCTTCAACAATTAATCACTTTTATGTGCGGAGAATTTCATACTCTTCTAGTCATTTTGAAATCTGTCAGAGGCTGTTTAATCAACAGTTACCCCGCGGCACTAAAAAGCAGGAGATCCCTCTACTCTGGGCTTCTGGGGCTCCTTATTGAACAGCTTTCTGTTCTGGTTCTCTCCTGCCCTGCCCTCCCCAGTCTCTATGACCACTGTTCCACCTTCCTCATGTGGGAAGTTGAACTACTGGCTTGCACACATAGGTAAGAACATATAACCCAGCAATCCCACCACGGGGATTTCATCTCTAAAGGAGGTGAACTCTAGTACTAAAGAGTTATTTGCACTTCCGTGCTTATCACAGCACCATTCACAGTACCAAAAATATGGAATCAACCCTGGTGACCTTCAGGGGACTAATGAAGAGAATGTTTTGTATTTATACAGTGGAATACTATTCAGCCATAGAAAGGAAAAACCCTGCTGTCTGCAGTAACATGGATGGAACTGGGGGTCGTTTTGGTAAGCAAAACAAGTCACACCAAGAAAGTGTGTACAAGAAGAGAGATATATCTTCTAAGAAAAAATTATACACACACATGTGGCTAGCTCGCACAGTATTCAGCACTTGGCTTCTTCGTCTTAAAACCATTTGGTAAGTGGGGAGGAGTTTTGGTATGATGGAGAATTCGCGGTGGGTTTTGCATATCTGCGTTCTAGTCAGGCTCTTCTATACTAACCCAGTGGTATGACCTTCATGAGCCCCTTAACCCCAGTTTCTGTGTCTGTCAGAACAGGAGGTATCCTAGGTGACGCGCTGAGATCTAAGGCTCCCACTGGCTGGCGGAGGGACTGTCATAGCAGGTGGGTGGGGCCGGGAGTGATAATGGGGGGGCTTCAACCTCTTCCACCCCTTTTCTAGAACATCTCTCTTTTTTGTTTTGTACATCAAACAGCAAGAATATCTATAGGAAGAAAAGATTGTCAGGGTTGAGCTCAATCCACTTTAGGTGACCCCTAAAGTAGGGTGATCATGCATAATTTATCAACCACCCTGAGGCAGTGCTCGAGAGTGAGAGGATTTTGTAAAAATCATACTGGTACCATAGACAAGTGGGGGTGTCTTCAACAAACAGAGATGCGTTGTCACTGCACTACCAAGTCCTCTTCCCACTCAGAGCTTCCTTCCTTCTCCAGCCTATAATTCTGTGGCTTGATTGCCTAATCCTCCTTAGCGGAGTATCACCCAGAATTCTGGGAGCAGCCCCAGGGACAGCCGCAGTTGAGGACAGCCTCAGGGAACAAAGTCATTAGGCGATAGCCTCGGGGCCAGCAGTCATCAGGAACAGCTCTAGGGACAGAAGCCATCAGGAGACAGCACCATGAGCTTATAGCTGGGAGAAACGCACCCAGGAGGCCAGCTGCACATGATGGATGGCACAAGTTCAGCCTGGTGCTTGTTGTGAATCATGCAAGCATCACAAGTTACAAGGTGAAGACACTAGTGAATTAACCAGCAACTACCCAGCAAGCAAATGCTCATAAGGAGCCCAGCCCAGGATGTCAGTATTGGGGGGCGAAACATTAAGAAGGACAGTGTAAACCTCAGATCTTCAGGATGGAGGACAGCCGGGGAGGAAGGTCACAGGCTGAAAGCAAGGTTATGCTCTCCAGGCAGGTCGACAGGCAAAGGATTCTGCCATAGTAGGAAAAATCTGGTAGGATTTCTGCAGAGGAAATAAAAATGGTGGAGAAGTGAGAGTCTCCCTCCCTACCTCCTCCAACACAGGACAGGGCAGGACTTGTCTGTCAGGACCCTGATCCTACAGGGCTTAGGGAGCTCTGGCCTCACTGAGGCTGATTATCCACTCACTTCTTTAAGTATCCTCACCTTTACTCACCCATCCAGTGCTTTATCCTACAGCGTGCTACCTGTGTTCTCTGCTCTGAGAGTGTCTCTTGCATCAAAATGACCCTCCCTGTTCCGCCGGAAGTCTCACTAATGGTAACGTTCACAGCAGAGTGGCGCAGCGAGGAGAAGGCTGCCCACGGGGTAGACCAGGTGCTCTTACCTTTGATTATCTCCTTCTGGGTGCCTCTGAGGTGGTGAATAATGGCGAGGAACTCCGTGGCTGGGCAAGGGATGTGGGTCGGCATTCTAATCCCTGCTTGCCAGCTGTGTAACACTGGGCAAGTGTGGTCCCCGTCTGAGCTCCATGGGGCTCTGCCCCTCTTTCCTCCACTGGCGTGGGAGGATGGCAAGGACCCCACCGTGGTCACCGGTGGTCTGCCGTCTCTCATCCACTCCTTCAATCCTGTGCCAAGAAGCGTCCTGCAAAATCCGGGATTTCGCTCTCCTGGGTACTGCGGCTCCCCCACACCGTCCCCCTCATCTCACCGCAGGGTTCTTACCTTCCACTGCTTCCGGTTGTGAAATTCCTCCTTTTCCTTCATTTTTGCACAGAACAACCTACATCGCACATATATTAATAAGTCAGACTTTGGGGACTTTGGGGAGACAGAAGGACTTCATGTCAGGGCAGTGCAACAACTAGTGGTTAACACCGGGCATTCACTTGAGAACTGCCGTGCTCACCTCTGCCGGCCCAGGCCTCTGCTCTTGGTCCCAGCAGCATGGACAATCCCTTCTGAAAGTCACTGTGCAGAGCAGTTCAGCCTCTCCATTTCCTGTCCCCAAACTCAACCCTGGCTTCCCTTTATGTCTCCAAAGCCTCCTGAGTGCACTTTTCTAAACAATGTGCCACACTCCACGCACTTTGAAATGTGAAAGTTTTCTTTTATGTAAGGATGAAACAGGGCCCGACTTAGGAAGTGGGCTGGGATCTATGGGCTGAGAAGGCATCACGTGCTGAGCCTGAGGAGAGACTGCTGGCCAACAGCGGCAAGGCCCTCAGATGCCCCGGCAAACTGAGAGGGGCCCAGGATCAGGAGGAGACATGGCAGCCGTTATGTGGCCAAGAGGCCCCTGCTCAGCGCCTGCCATAGGGACAGCTGCTGGAGCTCCAAAGGAGTCAGCTTAGGTCCTCAGCCACTTGAAGGCTGGGCTCATCACAGCAGAAGCATCCAAGGTTAGGATGCCACACCATCCAGTTCCCAAGACCCTTGCCTCTGTTCTACACGCTGTCTCCTAAGTCCAGAAGAGCTGGGGAGCAGGACCTGCATTCTCCCTCCTTCCAGCATCCTAGGCCCAAACCAACCCCTTCTACAGCCACTGCCCCACGCTCAGGGGAAGAGGAGCTCTTTGCGCGACGTGCGCGGGGCACACGTGGTTTCTCCCTGCGCCCTCATTGACTGATCATGTCACTGCAAACAGGAGGATGTGTTTGGAAGCTCCAAAACCGGGAAAACAGGACAGAAGGATGGACAGACTCCACTAATCATTATCACACAGGTGGGGCTGAGCTGAGGCGGATCCCGGGTGCAGCAAGGGCTTGGGGAGCTCCTGCGGTCTGTCGGGCGTGAAGGGAAGAAATGAGGCCAGTTATTCCGGCTGCACTGTGACTAATCTCGGGGAGAATGCTGCCCGGGCAGGGCAGGCGGCCTACAGGGGTGCAGGGAGAGGGGCTCATATAAATGCTAACAAGGCGAGGATGGACCTGGCTGGTCCAGGGCGCAGAGAGCAGGAGCTGGTTGCCTCAGACAGCAGCGTGAGCTCTAATTTCCAGGTGTTTTAGGCCAGTAATGGCGAATCTTTCAGAGACCAAAGGCCCAAACTGCAACCCAAAGCCCACTCATTTATTCCAAAGTGCCAGCACTCCAGTTAAACCTGAACACCGAGGTTTTAGTTCAGAAAACACAACTCATATATTAACATCTTCTATCTTAGAAGAAAGACGGTAACACAACTTTCAAGAGACAAAGGGCATTTTATCGGGAGATGAAAGTCTGCATTTGCTGTGCTTTGGCAGTCGGTATGATCTGTGCTTTGTATGCATGCTGATAATCCGTCAAACGCGGCTTGGGTGCTGACAGAGAGGCTCTGCGTGGCACACGCGCCGTAGGTGCGCCCCACTCTGAAGCTCTCGGTACCCGCATGTGGAGGAGCAAGGGAAGCGGCTGCTGCCTAATGGATGTCATAGATTAAAGCTGAAACCCTCAGGGATTTCTCCCGCGGCAGAGACACCGTTGTCTGTTTTGTGTCCGGCTTGTTTCACTCACTCCTTATTCCTGCGCTATGTGGTCGGAGACATTTTATATCAGGAGCGGCAAAGGACTCCTTCACCAAATGTGGTACGTTCTGAGGCTGGTGCATCCAAGAATGGGCAGAGGTGCTCAGAGCTCGTGCGAGTGCCGGGCTGGGTTATCTTGAGCTAGCAGATTCAGCTTCTGCAAAGCTCAGTTCCTCGTCTGTAAAATGGGGCCAACCCAGGGGCTCTGTAGAGTTTCACCGAGATACATGTACAAAGGCTCAGTTCAGGCCGAACGGATGGCGCTCAGTCAGCGCTCACTACCGTCACCACCAACCATCGCCGCCCTCACTGACATCAGTTCTCCGCTACCTCTGCTTGTGGTCGTGCTAAGTAGTGAACTTGAGCGAAGATTGGCTCAGCGGGGAATATAGGCATACTGTCACATGCTCTCCTCTCTTCTCCTGGAAAACAAAGCATCCTTTGAAAAAGGAATTGCTTTCATTTCCCATGGGAAGTAATTTCTACAACCCACGAGTAAATGCAGTCTAATGACTGGAATGTGACAGTAGCTATCAAGAATGAAATGTTCCGTAAACAGTGCTGCCTCCTAGAATTACTCAGTCTCCGTGCTCTGTTTGGGTCGTCTCTTGCCCACCCATTCTTTTCTGCTTCTCGCCAGTCTCCTACTCACCCCGTCTCTCGCCCCTCCCAACTGTCTGGGGTCATCAGACCTGGCTGGTACCCTCACATCCCCACGGAGTGCAGCTGCCCTGGGGCTCAGGCTAAAGCCCAAAGGCCTGGAGGCGTTGCGCTTACTGGACGGCCAGGGGAGCAAGGGGGTGCCGGTGAAGGGCATTTTGCCAGTAGGCAAACCAGCGGGCCATGCCTCATGCATTTTCAGGGAAACGTCATTTAATCTCACAACATCTGCAGCAGCCTGCAGCGTGTTTTCCCCAGGGTCTGACTCTAAGCTGACACAGGGTACCGGCCCCTCCCCCAGATTCTGGGACATATCTGGAGATTATTGAACAAACATCAGTTAGGCTCCTGTCTTGGAGCAGAGTCAGGCTGAATGGGAAATATGCCAGCGCGCTTATCACCACTGACAGGCTCCGTGCCTCACCTGTGACGGTGTCATAACACGGCTCCCTGCGGCGGGCGCTTCGCTCCCTTCTGTGAAAGCGCTGCTCCTGGGCGGGCAAAATAATGAAGGGCCCTTTAAGTTTATGTTTTCTTTCTCAGAGTAAGCAAGAATTCCCATAATCAATTCAATATACCTTGCAGACACACAATAAACGTCGATGAATTCAGTAGTGTTTTAAATTCTAGGGCTTCTTTTTCCGCAGTTTAAATTTTCTTTCAGTCCCCCCAAGAGTGGGACACAGAGTGTATGACTTAGCGTCTTCATCTTAAGGATAAGCAAAGGCCGGAGAGTATAAATTTCTCCCCGGGGGCCACACAGGCAGTATGAGTAGCGGGCAGACACCGGAGGCCTGGACCAGGACCCAGGGCGAGCGCTTTCCTACTACCTCTCTCCCCAGTGACACCTGCTTCATTGCTTGCTTTGCAAGTGGATCTTGGCCCTGACTTTGTCCTGTCTTGGTCCTTAGAAACCTTCCCCAGCTGAGACATCTCTGATAGGACGTTTGAAGCTCAAAATGTTTTCCGAATAGGTACTTTTCTCATAGAGTTTTCCCCCGCATGTCTACATTTCTGGCTGCTCCTAACGTGTGCAGTATCGGACTACATCACCGGGGCTGCCCTGCGCAAGGCAGCCCTGGCACGCAGCCCGCCGGCTGCAGCTCGCCTGGTCCCCGCCATGCGCCCCTCCTCATGCCCGGCCGCTCCACTCGCTCACGGCCTGGCTGCTGTGGGCCTCTGAACCTGACCCTGCGCCAGACACCTAACTCGCAACCTCACAGCCCACAGCCCAGCAGGAGAGCCCCCGCCCCTCGAGGGCTGCCTGAAACAACCCCGTGTCCCGAACACCCCGGACTGCGCCAGGCGCGGCGTGAATGACCACGGGTTACACTCTCGCGCTTTCCTTTGCCTCCGGTGCCTGTGATTTGACCCACGATGACCTCAGAGGGTCCCGATTTTCCCTCGCCTCTCTAACCGAGGAGTCCAAGTCTGTAAGGAGCTGTGGGGACAGGTGGTGAGGGGTACAGAGCACAGGTTACAGTAACAGCCCGAGAGATGTAACTTAGCATTGCTTCACGGGGCCTTCCCAAAGCCTCCTCCACGCAAAGCCCTGCCGCCGTCCCCAGCCTCTGCGCTCCTCACCCCCGTTCAGAATTCTTTCTCCCAGTGTGCCGTGCAAGCCGTCGGTGTGGGAGCAGGGGTCTCCTCTCCACGCACGCCGGCCCTTTCCTTGTGGGGAAGTCGGGGCCCTAGACAGCAAACGTTGCCCAGTTCCCCGCCCAGGGCTCCGCTGCCGTGCGCCGGTCGCTGAGGAGGTGTATTCCAAGGCCCAAGGCTGCTGTCCCTGCTCTGAGGCGGTGAGGTCCAGGTCCCTCCCCTGGTAGGTTGTACCTGTTGCTCACTGCACAAGAGCACCAGCTGAGCGGGCAGATGAGTGCCGAGGCCGGGGCCTGCTCTGCCTAGGAGGCCGAGAGCGCCGTGTCCGGCCGGCCCGTCTCCTCCTCCTCTGTGCTGACCCTGCCTGCCGCCTGGGCCCCGCGGAGGCGCCTTTGCTGCTTCTCCCCGAGCGCCATACGGGCTGGGGGTGGGGCACAGGCTGACTGGGACGCATGTTGCGTAGGAAATGTGAATTTGCCTCGCTGCCATTGTGACCCCAGCCTGTTTGGGACCCCAGAAACTCCCCATAGCTTTGTCAAGGTTTACTGCGGCCCCCACCCGCCGCCGAAGCGTGGAAGCGACCCGGCGAGGAAGCCCCAGGGCCGGGGCGGC